TGAGTAGGGGTTAGCAACAATCGCATTAAATTTCAACAGTCATGTGGACGCATCAAGTCAGCGGAATAAATCCAGGTGACGATTTGTCGAGTGGCCTCAGATTTCACTCCATATTGAGATATGGTATTACGGGCCTGCTGTAAAATTTTCCAGTCATGTGGTTCCCATTTGCCATGACCGTCAGTCTGTACCACAGGACAGGCTAACGTCGAGGTACTTCCTATGTTGGCAGCAGCACTCCACTGTCCATCCAGGATAGCGTCCCTTATAATACCACTCCGGCGGCTAGGTCTGATCAATGCCAGAGGCCCGACTAAACATTTTGGGAAGGAAGTCTCATCTTCTCGCTGGGGGGAGCTAGCAGCAGTTGACATATGCTGCAACCGTAAGTCCATCTTTTGGAGGCGCTGTAGGACTGATTGCAGAAGATCACGTGTTCCCTTTTCATGCAATTCATTTTGCTCGCCATTAGGGGGAGTCGAGGGTGAAGATGCCTTGCTGGCGGGTGGCAACGGAGGATAAAGAGGAGGGGCCGATGCTGTAGGTCGTACCTCTTCCCCTGCCCCCTCTGTGGGCGGTACTAGCCACTCCTCCCCTCTCCCTGGGGGGTGCAGTACTTCCGGATGAGGCTCATTTCTCTGCTTAGTCTCCCTAACGGCAACTTCCGGCAGGACTTCTGCCCTATTAACAGCGCCTGAATTACCCTCCGCTCTCGCCCGAATCTCGGCAATCAATTTACAGGTAGTCCCAGTCGTCCCTTTTACGGCAGGCAGACCAAAAAAACGTGCCAATGTCCCGGGCTTAGGCACTTTGTTCTTTTCGGACTCAGGAGCTAACATTTGAGTCGCCGCACACGCTACCTCTCACTCCACTTTCATAGCTTTTAAAGTCTCTAATACTGTTCGCCAAAGTTCCCGGACAGCCTTTATCTCCTTTTCTTCCTTTTCCTCTCCCATTATCATCCTTTCCCACATTGTCTCTCCCAACTCTTGCCATTCCGAGACAGAAAACAGTAACTGGGTATCCGCAAAGTGACCCCATCGTTGCCCCAACTTAATCAACTTCATGAGTTGTTTTCCCATTGTCTCTATCCCTCTCTTGGAGAGGATACCGACAAGCAACGTTGCCGCAGCCTCTACTTCCATGCTTGTGGCTCTGGCCCTCTGTGAGGCGAGCAGTCACCTCAAACTGTGTCTGCCCTGCGACTATGCACCTAGGCAGCACCGGGCCCGTTTTGCCCTGGGAGGTGGCCAAACTGTGTCTGCCCTGCAACTATGCACCCAGGCAGCACCTCTCCCAGCTGTTGCTTTCCCACTCCCCTCCTCTAGCTGCTTACCGCAGGCTCGGAGATTCTGCAGGAAGATGAACCATCCCCTGCCGCAGGGGA